AGGTGGAGCGTTGCCCATGTAGGCGAAGCGTCACCGCCCAGTATTCCGGGTGATCGGGTCGGATGGAATCTGTATCCGCTCGTTGTAGCCCCGTTTTTAAAATATTTGGGTACGGAGGAAAAGAGAGAGGGTTGTGTTTTATGACACTTGGTGAGTTCCCTGGAACGCCGGGGACACATATTCATCTATAAAAGACGTGCAAAAGTGCATTTTGCATGATAGGTCCCCTTTAACTTTAATGCAGTCTTTAAAACCAAGCAAACACTAGCCATTGTACCCATATCCAAAATATATCCAAATATCTAGTCTCATATCAAAATAAAGGTAAAATAAGAATATTTGGCCCAGCCCAACCTGCAGAATTTGTTTTTTGCCATGCTGGAGAAATATTTTTTTTATTTAAAATGCAATGTTCATGTTGTCACTCTTGGTTTGACTTAATTGTGAGAAGTTGATCAATGTCAGATATGACACCAGGTGTAATGGCAGGTATTCTGTTGGTGCTGTAGCAATGGTGGCAGGTTATGTAAGCATGCACCTCACTAATGTCTGGCATGTGAAAAACCTGTCAGTCAGTCTCTCCTGATATATTGGTCACCAGGGGCCTCATTTATAACGCTGTGCGTAGGATTCACGTGGGAAGGTTGCTTACGTAGTAGAAATCCAAAAAATAGGTACAGAAATGTTCCGACATTTTCCGATTTACAAAACATTATCAAGTCTTGGCAAACGGCAAAAAAAACGATTAAACGTGTTAGTATATAAAACCATGCTCGTATCTACAACCTATAGAAATGCAAAACCGCGTCAGTTTAGACGTAATTCTGTCCTCCTGCTTACCGCATCATTTATGAGAAAACATTTCATAACATTAACACAACTTTTTCTAGTGCAGTTTCTCGTCTCTCCCGTTTTTGTGCTTAGTGCGTACGCATGGGTTAGAGTTTGCGTGAAGGACCGCACATTTTCCCGTCAAGTTAGTATTTTATAAATCGCAAACATTGCGTAGAAACTGACTTACGCCATTTTTTTTTGCGTATATCCCTTTATAAATGAGGCCCCAGGTCAGTACGGAGAACGGTGTATTTTAAGATCATAAACCTAAAAGCCAGACACAGGGAGCACCTCATCTGTCGTGTGATTGGATTAAAGTTACAAGATAATTGTTTAATTGAATTTCAAAAGTTATTTTTGAGTGTGTCTTAGCAGCTGAAAGTGTTGAATAATAGTCTTAAGTGTTTAGTAGTGACCCTGTTGTTTTGTTTACTAAGCATATTTTTAACAACAGATATATTCAGAATTATATAAATGGCCTTTTCACAGCGTAATTAAGTAACAAAAGATTATCAAGTCTAAAGAAGGTTTTCCGACCACATCAAGAATGTACAGATTACGTCAAAGGTTTATTAACTATTATATAATTTCCAGGAGCCTAGGATATATTCTATTTATGGCGCAAAGTATATCTTACAAAACAACTTGCATATCATTCTGATCGATTGAAAAGCATATAAATAATGCATTTTGATAAATCTTATTTGTCATTTTTGTTTGAAGTATGTCTTCTGTCTGGCTGTTCTAAAACAATTCAGTATGATTTTTAAATCTGGTTTTCTTATATTGCATGTAGAGCAATTACACTTCCCAGAAAGAGCAGCATTGTAAGAGGCTTAAAGTTGGACTGGTGTTTTTGAATACATTTTGCGTGAATAAGTTAAAGGGACTTAGCATGAGAGTAAATACACAGTGTGAACATAAATGCTGATACATAAGTACAACGTCTCTCTTTGTGTTCTTTCAGGCTTTGTTTAGGAAAGCTGTGGTGCTACATGAGATGGGCCAAGTGGACGAGTCTCTCCAAGTCTTCCTCCAATGCCTGTCTGAGGACGAAGACTTCCCCTGTGCTAAAAGACAAGTGGAAAAGGTGAGGGAAATCATGGTGATAATCCAAAAAAAAATTTACATGTTACTTTAAAGGGTCATATTGTTCTGTACAACCATATGTTTTTCAGTAAGTCTGAGCATTTGTCATGTTTTACAGTTTATACTCTAAATAAAATATTTACTTCCACTTTAAAAGCCACTAAGAATGTACAGTCTTTCTATTAGGATCATCTGTAGCATGAGATAAAACTTTATTTATCCAAAATGACTTTGCTGGACAGAAGTTGCAATGCAAAAAAGGAAGGGGGCAACTATACGAGTCTAAGATTAGAATAAAAATAAACTGCGAATCCAAAATATTTTGATCATAAGAATATAAACATGTTATGTTAGAGATCAATTTCAGGCTGGAATTTCCTGCAGGCCAGGTCTTATGACTGACTCTGTAATGAAATTAGTACCATTTAATGGACTGACCACAGCGATGCGATTACATAAGTGTCACCCACTCTCAATTATTCACAGTGCTACTTAGATTTTAAGAATAACAGTTGTTGCCATTTTGTGGTAAAACTATTTAGTTGATTATGCTGATCCAAGTTTTGTGTAATCATCTCTGAATCATCATTGTATAAGTAAACCTACATAATCACATGAGTCATCTCATGCCAGTGGTAATAAGTGTGTGGAATTGATGTGAAAGGTTGCAGGTTATATGGTTTGACTTCTGTATCCTTCTGATGCTGAAAGAGATGCTGTTCAGATTCATCTCAGACACAGACAGTGTGGGAGTCAGACAGCATGCAACAGGACAGGAGCACGTCATATTAAGTTTGTGGAACCTGCAGTCACGCGTATAGCCCTTTAAATAAAGAAAAATTCAATTAAAGCAATTAAAATTGACAGGCTCCGACCGTGTTGCCCTCACAGAGAAATTAGCAATTGATGCCGGGCATATGGTAACACATTAGCTGTAAAAAGAGACATCACAAGATATCTGTTAGCAGGGAAATAATGAAAATAAAGAGGAAAGAGTGTGAAGAGTCAGTGTGTGGTGACGCACTACAGCATCATCCAGACTGAGAGAAAAGATTATTGGCTGGGTCATCTGCACACTGAGGTCATGCTGACATCAATTATGAGGCAACACTCAGAACAACGTTTGCTTTCTCTTTGGGGCCAGTGTTGTGGCTCACGCTAGAGTTAAAAATGAAGGAAGGAGAAGGTGTGTTGTGAAAATCTAACAAAGTTTATTGCCACTGAGGGGGAGTTCACAAAAACAAACAACGACCCTGCTATGTCCTGACGCTACTTCTGGTCCGTGGATCCTCCTCTCAGGATCCAGCCTACTGCCAGAGAGAAACCTGAACCAGGTTACCTGCATGCTTTTTACTGATCGCTTAATTACATGATTCTGAGCAGAGGCCTGTACTGCGAAGCTGGATTTCAGGGTTAACTCTGGGTTTCCGGTCCTACGACGCTGGTTCACTTCTTAGCGGGCTAGATCTCCACGGTAACTTATGCTGAACGGCTAGCCTGCTCCGGAGCAGGTTAGGTTGCAGGCTAAGAGATCAACTCAGTGAAAGCCTGTGATTGGCGATGGTGAATGATGATGATGATGATGATGATGATGATGATGATGATGATGATGAAGTGATTGGCCTGCTGACCAATCAGAGCTCATCGAGCGGAGTTTAAAGCTATCAAGTCATATTATAGGAGAACGGAAATACAGAAAAACTGCCGTTGCAGGAAAGACGGCCGGCAAAAATCAACTGACTGTGTGAACGTGAAAATGAATAGAATATCACCTCCCATCTTCAGATCAATCTGACTATTATAACATTAGCGTTAAGAGAGCTTACTTAAATATCTGCCACAACATAAGTATCCAGATCAAAGTAACATTACGTACAGTCTGCGTGAGTGCAGACGTCGATGTGTCCCATTATCATTCATATCACATCATAATGTATCATATATTTCCTTATCTAAGTCAGCTGAGCCGTATCTGGCCGTGCAACACTCACAGTGTCACATACTGTATGCAGAAGTATTATTTTAAGCAACACATTAAGTTGACGAAACACTCGAGACAAATGTAATTAAAGTCAGATCGTGTCTTAGACGGGGCAGTGATATCATAAACCTGTTAATGTACG